GAAAATAACAAAAAGCATAAAAGTGTTTTCCTAAATTATACCACTTCTAGGATACAGCTAAAAGTTTGCACATTTGAAATATTCGTTACACGTGGAAAACTTTTTAATTTGGCCTTTCCCAGTTAAGAGCCTCCAGTTCCTAAGCAGATGTGTTTGTTCTCATAGATTTGGGTTCAATTATTAATATTTTAAATTGATTTTTTTTTTAATTTTAGCTATATTTTAATCATGTAACTCATTTAATTCTATTTTAAGGTTTGTCGTTTTATTGTATATTAATCTGCTATTATTTTAAACTGCCCTGTGAGCTGCCTTCGGTCCAATGTCTAGAAGAGAGGCAGCGTGTAAAGGAGATAAATAAATAAATCAACATAACAGATTGAAGGTTCATATTGGTCTTATCTTTGCACTGTATCTATGTAAAAACATATTTTGTTTGTTTGTTTTGGGCACAAATAAGCAGTACCATGCCCATCAAAAGCTGGAACTTGAAAAGTCCGTAGAAAGATTTGTCACTTGATTCAGTTGATTCTGTTAAGGTTCCCCCCGCTCTCAAGGAGACACTCATTAGGCCCATAAGGAAGAAACCGAGCTTGGCGATGGACGATATTAGCAATTATAGGCCTGTCACCAATGTTTCTTTCCTCAGCAAAGTGGTAGAGAGGGTGGTGGCTGACCAGCTTCAGGCTCTTTTGGATGAAATAAATGCCCTGGATCCATTCCAGTCGGGCTTCAGGCCGCGCCACAATACAGAAACAGCATTGGTCGCTCTGTTTGACGACTTGCTGAGGGAGGCCAACAGGGGCAAACAACTTGCTGAGGGAGGCCGACAGGGGCAAAAGTCTTTGTTGGTCCTCCTCAATATCTCAGCCGCCTTCGATACCGTTGACCGTGGTATCCTCCTGGGACTCATGATGTTAATTCCACAAGTCCCATCCCTAACACACTGGCTCATCATGATGTTGTTAATTTCACAAGTCCCATCCCTAACACACTGGCTCATTTCTAACAAAGCACAGAGCAGAACTGAACCCCTGACTCCCAGTTCAACAACCAGATGCTCCAGCAGAGTTATCCATCTTTCAGTGGTGTCCAACCTTGGCCCTCCATGCAGCCAGATGCTTCAGCAGAGTTATCCATCTAGGTGTTTACTGATACAGCACTTTAAAAAAAAGGTAGTATTACTTCAACTTGTGTTGTAAAGACAGAATTTCTTTTTCCCAACACTATGTTTCTAAAATGTTTACTGATACAGCACTTTTGAAAACAAAGGTAGTATTACTTCAATTTGTGTTGTAAAGACAGAATTTCTTTTTCCCAACACTATGTTTCTAAAAGCTGAGGGGAGGGGGAATCAAAAAGAAGAGTTAGTGGCTAAAGTCCAGTAGTAAGATGCAACTACAGTAGGCCCACTGAATCAAGGGAATTTATGAAGGAGTTGTCCTTTGTTTATTTTGCCTTAAACACAAGTCCATCCTCTGGATGTGTGTCCTCACTTCATCCTGCCACCAGGTATTATTCCCTTTATACCAAATAGATCTTAGACAAGTGCTGCCAATTCAACAAATTTATTGATTTTACAGATGTCATGCAAATCACATGTTTTGTCAAGAGAATAAGCTGGTCATCACAAACACTCTTTTCCAACAACACAAGAGGCGACTCTATACATGGAAATCACCAGATGGGCAATATCGAAATCAGATTGATTATATTCTCTGCAGCCAAAGATGGAGAAGCTCTATACAGTCAGCAAAAACAAGACCTGGAGCTGACTGCGGTTCTGATCATCAGCTTCTCATAGCAAAATTCAAGCTTAGACTGAAGAGAGTAGGAAAAACCACTGGGCCACTCAGGTATAATCTAAACCAAATCCCTTATGAATACAACTGTCTCTAACTGTCTGAATTCTAATTGTCTAACTATCCTTTTTGTTCCGCCTCTCCTGTCCTCTCATAGGCTCCTGCCTTTCAGCTTCCCACGATGGACAGGCGTGACGTGGGGTTCCGCTACAGATATATTAACAGTGGCTGAAATCCAGTACAGTGGTGCCTCGTCATTAAATATCAATTGCTTTCACATTGGGTTTGTTTGTTTTTATTCACTGTTATAATATTCTTCGACTATATATATTCTCTATACTTTTAAACTCTTTCCTATTTTCTCTAGCATTCTCTCTTAACTTAATTCAATCTCGTAGCTCTCTCTTCAATTCCCTATCAGCAACCTCTTTTTTCCAACTCGTGTTCCCTGTCTCTGTCCGAATTCTAACTGTCTAACTATCCTTTTTGTTCTGCCCCTCCTGTCCTCTCATAGGCTCCTGCCTTTGAGTTTCCCACGATGGACAGGCATGATGTGGGGTTCCGCTACAGATACATTAACAGTGGCTGAAATCCAGTAGTACTGTACATTGTATCTAGACTAGTATAGGCCCATTGAATCAATGGGGATATGTGAGTCAACTCCTTCATAAATTTCCTTGATTCAGTGGGCCTACTGTAGTTGCAACTTACTACTGGATTTCAGTCACTGTTAATGTATCCTACAAAGCAGACATTCAGACCACCTCCTCATTGTTATTCAAAATATGGGCACATTGACGCACCTTCTTGTTCCTTAACCTCCACTTTAAGTATTAATCCCACCATCCATTCCACATCTCAAACAGTGAATTAGATCAGAAATGAAACACAGGTTTTCACAGGGTCAACATCTGCAAATACTACCTTTTCAGCACAGACCTTTTGATATTTAGATAATCTTTGGTAATATAGTCCTGGTGATTTCTTCTTTTTCAGGGAATCAAACAGTAGAGTCCTTGTGTTAACTTGGGGTGGAAGTTAAGGTAAAAGAAAGGTGTATCAAGACACCTATATTTTGACTGAAAACAGAATTGGGGATCCATTTGTGGTCTAATTTTTCTTGCCATCTGGGATACAGCTTCAACTATAAGGTTTTCCTTCAAATCAACCTTTCTTTTTGAGTATATTAAAACACAGAGAAGCACTAAATATTTCTTAATATATTTCATTACAGATGTTTCACAACTTTGGTTGTTGTGGGTTTTTCATGCTCTTTGGCCGTGTTCTGAAGGTTGTTCTTCCTAACGTTTCGCCAGTCTCTGTGGCCGGCATCTTCAGAGGACAGCACTCTGTGCTCTGGTGTAGTTGGCTTGGGAGTACAAGAGGATGGGATAAACATATTTCTTTACTCTCAAGCCAACTACACCAGAGCACAGAGTGCTGTCCTCTGAAGATGCCGGCCACAGAGACTGGTGAAACGTTAGGAAGAAACTTTTTTTGAACATCCCCAGTATTTTTCTGCTATACAATTAATCACCTAACTTTGGCTGCAATTTTATTCTCACTTATTTGGAAATGAGCCTTGCTTAACTAACCAAATCTTACTTCTGAGCAGTTGTAAGATTCCTTTATTCATTAGGTTCCATATTTTTTATAACTATCTAGACTGTTACATGTTGACTTTTATTATCTGGTATAGATGCCATATAAGATTCAGCAAGTCCTTAGAACTGTATTTATGTTAAGTGCCAGCAAAATTTTATTATTTTCTCATAAGAAATGTGACATATCACACGTGCTCCAAAAAATGGAGGCAATCATGTTCCATAAAAATGATACAAAAACCAATGGCAAGCATTATAACCTGGGGTATCGTAAATTTAGTCTTGTGTAAACCATCCAGTGTCATGCTTGCACTAAAAGAGCAGTATAAGAAAGAAAGAAAGAAAGAAAGAAAGAAAGAAAGAAAGAAAGAAAGAAAGAAAGAAAGAAAGAAAGAAAGAAAGAAAGAAAGAAAGAAAGAAAGAAAGAACCTGTCTGTGGATTTTATATTTGGAAATTTGTCTAATACCCAGTTGTTTTATGTTACAGATGTAGAAGAAAGAATTCCTAAAAGCTTTGCAGAATCACTAACTTCTCACTCCATCCAATTTCAGTACTGCATTCCTTCCATTTTATTATGTCATGCTCACACTTCACATTTTATACAAAAATGAAACTCAAGACAGCTGCACATTTTTATATAACATTTGAGAGAATATAATGTGTTACATTTTTCTGATATGGCTCTATCTACCCAGCTAAGACTTCTATTTCATTTTTTAATTTAGCAATATATACACAAATTCCTCGTTACTTTATCCAAGAATCATAATTTTGTTCATTTTATTTCAATATTTCATTATTTAACTACTAACAAACAGCGACCAAAATGCAAGTTTGTGAGGAAGAGAGCAACATTTTGAATTACACTGCAATGTAGTATTCTTGCTTCTCTCCCATCTGAGAAGAACTATGTTGTGAGTCTATAATGGTGCAGAATGTGCCAAATACTGTAAATCTAACCAATGTTCTATCCTGAGAAGAGCTATGTTGTGTAATGGTGCAGAGTGTGTCAAATACTGTAAATCTAACCAATGTTCTATTTCAGGCTTATCTACATATTGCACTATGTAACAACTTCAGTTCTTCTTGCTATCAAAACATATTTTTGTACGCACATATACATAAACATATATGGGAGATATATATACAGACAGCGACAACTAAACAGCGATTCCGTTTCCTTGCTCCATTTGAGGGATGCAGTTGATCACTAAAATATAATTAGGCTTCTAAGTGTGATTTACAAACAGAAATATTCAAGCAAACATATATTTTACATGCTGTCGTTCCTTTTGGAGGCGAGCTTCGTTCTCCTAGCCAGAAGAGTCAATCCCGTTCTTTCCAAATACTGTACAGTATTAAATGTTGCCTTTAACATCCATCCTGCAGGACGACGGGGACTGTCTCCAGTTGCTTCAACTGTTGTTTGTCCTCGTTCTCTCCTCGTGAGCTCAAAGGCACATTCCTCTTCCCTTCTACAGTATTCGCCACTTCTCTCGTTTTCAAGCTGCGTTGTCCTCACAGAAGTCCTCAGAACCAAAGCTCCCAGGTGGCCCGCCGCTGGGGCGCATGCGCACAGCAACGGCTCATGCTCCTCTCCCTTTCTCCCTCGACGACGGAACTAAGCGTAGACACTACAACTCCCAGCATGCCTTGGGGGCCGAGGCTTGTTCAGTAGGGGGTGTCATTCAGCGCCACTGCTGTCGTCGTGGGGCCTACAGAGGAAGAGGAGGAGAACAGCAAGATGGCGCTGACTAGGTTTGTTTCGGGTCTCGAAGCGGCGGGAGTTTGCTGGGAATTGGGGGTGGGGGCGAGATAGGTTGTTGGTTCCTTCGTGGAATTCATTTATTTTAACATGGCCGCAGCTGTTTGTTTACCGACATCGATTGCGGGGTCGTTTTGGTTAGAGGAGCGCCGTAGCGCAAGGGAGGCCTCGATGGGTCCGGGCGGTTTCTCAAGAGCTCACACCTCGAGTCCTGCTTTTAAACAGCGTGGTTGGACCTTTTTTTCTTCCTTCGGTGCGTCTAGTCTTCGGAGCAGGGCTTTTTCTGGCTTGGAAATGTCGGTTGAGTGGGATTCGTGGCGGGTTTCTGCCCCGGTTTGAGCGGCACGCCAGACGGAGAGGGAAAGATGAAGGTTTCGCCTGCCTAAACAGAGGCTCTCCCTTGCCTCAGAAGGGGACTTGGGAGTTGTGTCGGAGCCGAGTGAGCCCTCAGAGTGTGACACGGTCGTTGGACGCGACGGCAGGCTCATATACAACCGAGGGTTGGCTAGCACATGTGTGACCGCCCGTCATTTGGTAACCGTGGCGTCCAGTGGGTTGCCTGGCTCGGTGGAAAAGCCCGTCTTTTATGTACAGTATAGGAGAGGCCTCAGATTAAGTCTTTGATGTCTTGGGATAGGGCTGAAAAAGTCCTTTTCTTTTACACCTTAGAGGTACACCGCCACTAAGTAGAATACCCTGACAGTAAACCTATTAACCCCACTGTATACTTAGGGCAGGGGTCTCCAAACTTTTCAGTATGAGGGCCACAACATATATTTTACACATTTTTAAGGGCTGAAGGAGGGATCTCCCACCCCAGCTGTCTTTGCAAAGACAGCAGGGGTGGGGGATCACTTGAGTCCCTCTTCCTATGCCAGAGTGGGGATAGGAAGAGGAGGGTCCCCCGTTTCCCCCCCCCCGAAATTTCCATTTTTTCCAGAAAAAAAAAAACAGGAAAATGTCCCCCCCCCCGAAAAAATGGAAATTTTGGGAAATTTTACATCTCTAATACCTCCCTAATTTAACACCAGCAAAAGCAAACAGAGTTTGTTAAGTTTAGATCTCAGTAGCAATTGTAGATCTTATCCTGGGTACCTACCCAAAATTAAGTGAGACACCCATGGCCTCTCTACAAATACGTCTAGATTTTTTAACAAACTAAGGGGATGGGTAAACATATTTAAAACAGGCTTTGATTATCTTTGAAGCAATTACTGCTCAGTATCTGCATGCAAAACTCATTATAAATAGAGGAACTGAATCCTTTGCATTATGCATCCAGTGCAAGTCAGGGGAAATAGGCAGAGGGGTCAGGTCAGTAGATGCTACAAAAATGCACCTAACAATTCTAGTCAAAATCTGGACTCCTCAGTAGCAAGCCCATAGTCCAGGAAAAACTGACATAGTTCTCAGACTGTTGAAGTTGTATGGACTCCACAAATAGAAAACAAGCTCTTTCCATCTGGTTGTCATTGCCGTCTCAGTTAAATTGACACTGCAGCCAGCCAGAACCTTAGTGTCACACACCCCCAGTTCTCCTGTTTGTTCTTCTACACACCCAGGTTCCCTTTCAGGCATGACATTTAATTTTCACACTTTTCCGCTGTCACCAGTGGATTTCTTTTATCCACAATGTAAATTATTTCACTCCAACACAGGCTACCAATCATTGAAAGTTTTTATTAAAGTTACAGATGTTCTTTATTTAGTCAGAATCACAATCATTTAAATGTCTTGTTTATTTATTTGCCATTTAATCAACTTGTGTATTTAGTGGTTACTATTCTCACTTCTAACTTTGACTATCTAGCTCTTTCTCTAACCTCTGAAATCCTTACTTTAACTCTTACTCATCCCTAACTGAAATCCTCAACTGATATCCCTAACTGAAGTCCCTGTCTTTCATTCTCTTCTTATATTTCCTTGGTTCAGCTCCTTCTGTTCAACCATTGGTTAATAAATCAGGGTTCCATTGTGATGGACAGAAGTGGTTACTGAGCTGTCCGATACATAGACTGTTGAAGATGTACAGTGGGGTCTTGACTTAAGAATGGCTCGAGTTAAGAACATTTTGACTTAAGAACCGCTCTCATAGGAAAATATTGACTTGACTTACGTACTTAGATTTGAGTTACGAACTGAAAAAAACCCACGTGGGAGGCAGGGAAAGTGCAAAATGTGAACTTTCAGTTAACTGTTGGCCAGTGAAAAGGGTGCCTGTCTGCTTCCTCCCTCCTCCCGGCGTTTAGAGAGTGGATTGGGAGACAGTCTTCGGACTGCCTGGTACTGGACTGCCTGGACTGTATTTTCCCTGCCTTCCCTGAACCTTTCTTGACCTAAGGAAAAAAAGAAACAAAATATCCCCCTCTAGTGGTCGAAGGCGGAATAGCAGCTTCCCATTAGTTTCTATGGACGGAAAAGAGCAGATACGGATCAAATGGTTCTCAATGCATTCCTATGGGAAATGCAGATTTGACCTGAGAACTTTTTGACTTGAGAACCGCCTTCCAATACGGATTAAGTTCTCAAGTCAAGACCCCACTGTATGGACTCCACAAATAGAAAACAAGCTCTTTCCATATGGTTGTCATTGCTGTCTCAGTTAAATTGACACTGCAGCCAATTTTTGTAAAGCCAGAACTTCAGCTTCTTTGTGATTTTTTTTTTTTTTTTCTTTGGAAAAATGTATTGCTTTTGCTATCTAATGTTAAGTAGAGATGAAGTGACGAGATTCAGTTCATTCTTTTGTCTTTACTTAGCTTTTTACCAGCACCAACTCAGCTATCTCAGGACCAGTTGGAGTTAGAAGAGAGGACAAGATTGCAAAGGGTGAGGCAGACAGCACTAGTGTCATCAAGAAGGGAGCCTCCTCCTTATGGTTATCGGAAAGGATGGATACCACGAATGTTGGAGGTAAGCAGTAATGTACACAGTTCTAGTAATAAGTAATGGTTTCTGTTACCTTGTTGTTTGAAGATAAAGGCACTTAATATTTGTGCTCCAGTTATTTTCTTGTTATTTGAGTTCAGCTGGAATTTAACAACCATATGAGCCAAAATGGTAACAGAATGTCTTGATCACTAAAATAAGCTTCAAGAAGTATAAATATTGATCACTAAAATATACTTCAGGAAGTATAAGGTGAAAATCCATAGAAGACTTATTCCCTTCCCTGACAAAATGGCTTCTATTGGCGGAACAGAAAAGGGACAATCATCCTCTCCCCTACAGTCCCATGTACACCTTCAAAATCTGCCTTAGAAGATTGTGGGACCTTACAGAGGAAATACTAGAGTTGGGATAGGAGACCGCACAGAGTACATAGTCCTATTGCATAGGTAGATACTCGTATACCTTGGGATTTTACCCAAAATAGTTTTACATACAACCCTGAATGTTAAAATTAGAGGAATCTAATTGCTATGGCACGTCTACCCAGTTTGTAAATCACTAACTGAACACAAGCTACCACTCAAATTTAGAACATGCAAAGTTTCATAAATCTTCAAATATCAAATATTTTGCAATCTCAGTTGAATTTGGTGCTAGGCATATATTTGGTGAATCATGCTGTGAAGATGTAGGATCTAAACTGGATTAAAGCCTTCAAGACCTGGATTACTATTCTGTCTGTTCTGTACACTAATTGCATGGGGGAAACCAAGCTAAGTAGTTATTTGCTTACCTTGGTTTCCCCATGTGTGAAATGGGAATAAAATGCTTCAAGCACCTGTTGTGAAAGCTGAAATGTTAATTATTGTAAACAACACAGAAAAAGCTGCAGGAGTGATCAGCAGCAATAATGAACTTAAAATGTCTTTTGAAGCTCTGCAAGAAATCCACAATTGTAATTCTTAATCTTGGGTATCCAGATGCTGTGGGAGTCCAACTTACCTCATTCCCATATACAGTGTACATATAGAGGCAAGCTCCTGTGCTGCTTTCTCAAAAATGTTTAGTGTCTGGTAATGCCTTAACTTCAATTCTTCTGTATTTGGACTGGGTACACTCTCCATCCCAAGTTGTTGACCATTTTATTCAAAAAGTAAGAAGCAAGTTAACTCATAATTTTGGCAATGTAATTTGAATGGGATCTACTAGTACATTTATAAGCCCCCAATTTTTATCTCTAATTTTAGCAATAATTTGTTTCCTGAAGGTGTATATAGATAAGCTACCCATCTTTGTGTATGGCCTTTAGTATGGCTGCAATGTGATATACAGGGCCTACATTAGAATAGTTTTTAACTGGTTCTAAATACTAAGTGTTTAGAAATATAGTAATGCCACAGAATTAGCTCATGGTCTCTGACCATAAATGTATATTTTCAAATACCACTTCCAAGATCAGTTAATCCAACAGCCATTGTTTTCTGCACAGATTCTCTCAGTATCAGATATAATTTGGAGATAATACTGTGTCTAAGACCTTTCACTGATTTTTCAATACTAGTTTTTTCTCTTGTGGCATTTTTGTTAGGTTTTATATGAACCTATTGCTGCAGCAGATTTTAGACACATCTTATGCAAGGTTTTTGTAAAAGCAAAGTCAGATTTTGTTAGGTATGTAAAATGCTTCCAAAAAGTGTTTTCTAAACATCTTGGTAAACCAAAATCTAGAATTTCTGCAGAATTTAACAGCTCAACATTACTGAACAGCTTGCATAATAACACGTAAAATGTTTACATGCCACTTAATGTGATTTATCAAAGATGCACATATAAATGGACATTAATTTTTTTAGGATTATAGCCTTTTGTATTATAGGCTAGAAATTAAGGAACCACGGAACTAGTTTGTCATTTTCCAATGGATGGATGTGTGCATGCATGCGTGCATTGAACAAGCTAGAACCAAACAACAAATAGAACAATAAACCAAACAATAGCATAAAAACAAAAATAGGAGAGAGATATCATATACAAAAACAGTTTGTGCGATGCTTTAAAAAAGAATAGAATAAAGTATTTCTTAAAGAGTGCTTCTTGTATGCTACCTGACAGACCACTTTTAAAATCTAAGAGGCTTTTAGCAGCACATTGTTAGATGTGCATAAACCATAAAATAGGACCCTAGGCCTAACTATTCCATTTCAATGAGTATTAATAATTGTGTGCCATCAAGTCAATTCTGACTTATGGTGACCTTTTCAAGGTTTTCTAGGTAGGGAGTACTCAGAAGTTTTTTAGAGTACTGTATTTTCAGTTGTATTTTAATTGTTTTATCTTTTTATTGCATTTAAATTGTTGTAAGCCACACAGAGACCTTTGGGTAGTGTGGGCGGTATATAAGAGAAAGAGAGAGAGAGAGAGAGAGAGAAAGAGAGAAAGAAAGAAAGAAAGAAAGAAAGAAAGAAAGAAAGAAAGAAAGAAAGAAAGAAAGAAAGAAAGACATTTACCATTCTCTTCTTCTGGGTACATCCTGGGACTGTGCCACTTGCCCAAGGCCATACAGTCTGCCTCTTCTGGGATGTATAGACAAGAACTGAACTCCAAGCGTTTTGTTCCACAGCCAGTCACCTAGCTCACCGAGCTATCCAGCCACCTTTAATTAGTATTCCAGGATTAATAAAACAAGCTAATAAAGTTGTGTGATCTTTACATAATCCAAAAGTAAGGGCAGGTGATACCTTTATTAGACAACTAAAAATATATATTTTTAAAAAGCTAGCATTTGCACCATGCAAGTCTTCATCAGGCTAGGCAACTGTGCATTGCAGATGGTGCAGGAAAAGTACACTATATGAAAGTCCTAAAAGTCATTGCAGATATCTGTGCCAAAGGTGAGTTTGAAAATGCAGGCTGCAAACACAATTCCGAAGTGTGGGATTTCAGATTTTTTTAATATATATATATGCAGGCTGCAAACACAATTCCGAAGTG